CCCAAATGAATATAAGTTAGCAAGCAACAAAGATGGTATGGTTATCATCAACACAATCATGCTTGTTCTTACAAGCATAATTCAGTCCAAAATTTATGTTGCAAAGCAAGACAGTTGTTAATGAGTTTTGCCCCATTTTATGACCTTTTTGTCACAGTTGTTAATTGAATCACTGCAATTGTTAAGTTAGTAAGACAGTTGTTAAGTGAATCTGGCTTCCCCATTGATTTTGCTTGTCAGAAGACCGCAAAAGGGGATCACATGATCCCAGGTTACTGCAACCATCATAAATATGAGCCAGTTGCAAAGCATCTGATACTTACACTCAGGTAACTATTCAAAGGATTCAAAGAATAGGTATTTTTTCCATTGACTTCTTTCTTCATGTAATTTTAGTTTAATATAAAAATAATCTTAATATTGCTTTCCTTTGTATGTCATGGAAGCAAAATATGTAATCTTGGTTGAACAAACTATTTACTCAGGCTAATAAAAAGATTCACGTGGATAACAAGCAAGCCAGAAAGATACTGTATGACTCTGTTGTAGTCCTGTGTTCAAGTCTTATTTAAAAAATAAAATAAAAACAGCAAAGTTATCAAGTCATGGATTTTCCCTATCATGGAACCCCATGAGACAATAATTATATTTTATCATGTATTTCCAGAGCTTCAACTAGACTTACAAGATTCAAAAGAGTGTCATTCTCAAACAGAATATGAAAAAAATCCCTATTAAATAGCAAAGCAGCAGAAAGTTAGAAATTACATGATAGGTGAACTATAGAATACTTACAGTATATGAAATACAAGAGGAAAATGCTACCGGAAACTCCATTTTAATAAACCTAAAGTAAATGTAATTTTAAAATACACAGCCACAGTGAAGACATAAAATATAATTAAGAAAACAATCCACACATTAGAGTATTCATCACAAAGTCAACAGACCTCAGTCACATACAGAGTTCCTACAGTTCTATTTCTATTTACTTGGAAATTTTCCTTGGCTATTTGAATCAAAGTTGTGTTCAGATAAATTTAACTAACCAGTCTCTGTAAGTACATTTTTCAAAAGTAATCTTAGCTGAAAATTTCATGCAGCATGAATTTCCCCAAATCAGCAGAGGATGCTCAGGTATTTGTCACAAGATATGGAACTCTTGTGATGACAAAGAAAGGCATCAAGTATAGCAAAGAGGCTTTGAATGCATTAGAGAGATTTTCCCGCCACCAAATTAAAGTGTTATTCGTCAATTTTTCAGCTAACATAACAATTTCTAATGGTTTATGGGTGTGCAATTCATTATATGAAATATCATCATCATCATCATCATCATCATATTATTATTATTATTATTGTTGTTGTTGTTGTTGTTGTTGTTATTATGAATAACCACACTTCAGTTCCAAAATAATAAATAGCAAAATATTATAATTTTATGCATCTTGAAGCTGAAGTTGGATAATGTCAAGGAGAGGAATGGTACTTTGATATTAGTATCAATACTGATTACTTGTTTAACTCATAGGCTCGAGTCTGGGTAGAGATAAGAGCAAGGATAAAGATTGAAGTTGTGTTAAAATAAAAGTAGAACAGGTCTGCAAGGATCAATATATTCATCATGTCATAGATCAGGTCTACATATGATATCATAGCATTTATAAAGAAAGCAAGATATTCTAATTAAATTCACACTTCATCCAAAACATACATTACTGTATACACACAGTAATATGCATACATATCTACACCCCCATGAGAACATCCTTTCTATTGTATAAGAATAAATACATGCTATGACATTTTTCAGAGCATGCAGAATTAAAGTAAAACCACACTTGTTTTTTATTATGATTCAAAAATTATTTGTCACACTACCATAATATTATCTGCATCAAAACATTTGTTTGCTTGCTTGTATTCCAATATCTATATTTGAAAAAAAATTCAGAATAAAAGCTTGGCAATTGGCAAACATATATTCAAATTTTACACTTACCAGCATTTTGAATGTTAACTGGACCAATAAAAAGAATCACCCTTTATTTTTGATCTGTAGCATGATAATCAGCGTATTTTCCTTAGATAATTTTACTTGTATATTAATATCTAAGCATATCTTAGATCAATGGTAGCGAACCTATGGCACACGTGCCAGAGGTGGCACTCAGAGCCCTCTCTGTGGGCACACGTGCCGTTGCCCCAACCCCACTTCCTCTCATGGCCCCTTCCTCCCCAGCAGCCCCCCTGGAAGTGAGTCACCCCCAAGCATGGCCCCCGCAGAGCAGCGCAGCCAAGGACATGGCAGTCAGGCAGCATAGAAAAGACTCTGCCCTCATGCCCCATCACGCACAGTTGATGCTGTGGGATGCGGGCAGAGGGCGTGGCCTCCATGGCACTGCTGGACTGCCTGGGCGATCTGCGGCAGGCCCTGGAGGTGGTGAGTAGCCCTGCAGCAGGCGGGGTGGGGGCGGGGCAGGGGGTGGAGCGAGGGTGGGGCCAAATTTTGAGCACTCAGTCTCTAAAAGGTTCAGCATCACTGTCTTAGATATTAGATCTAAGCATTAATATCTAACTTTGGTATAATTTTAGATGGATATTAATACCTTCCAAAGTTCAAATATGTATACTACACATCACAATAAAATTTCTGTGATTATCATATTTGATACATCTCAAGATATTTTAAAAGCACATAAATAACACATACATTTGAAAAGCAAACTCCTCAAATATATATACCATAAATATATCCTCATTAAGAAATCATAATTGCTTGCAAATTTCTTTTGGCAATATGCTCAAAAGCAAATGAGTTGCTTTTCTACAATATTCTCCTTTTGATATCTAAGAATTATAATTAAATTTCTTGGGGGAGAGCTGAGAACTACAAAGTGAATGGAGCCACATTACACATGAGCAAAACTGGGGTTGGGAATTTTTTCTTGATTTATGCTATTTTAACCTAATCTATAGTTTTCAGGTATTTCCACCTAAATTACTATCAATTTTCAGCAATCATGGTCTGCGGAACTTTCAGAAGCTGCAATTTTTTTCCAGATACAGACAACTGATTACTGGAGTAATAAATGAAATGGTTCTCAGATTATTTTATTCTCCAAAGCACCCTCGCATTCCTCCATGACCATCATACAATAATGGTATATTGGACATGCTCTAGGCCAGGCATGTCAAACTCACGACGTCATGTGACATCATGCAATGTATCGGGACTTTTTCCACATTGCCGGCAATGGCATGGGCGCGGTTTTGGCGTGATGCATCCAGCCCACAGGCCGGCAGTTTGGCATGCCTGCTCTAGGCCAATGTTTCTCTATCTTGGCAACTTTAAGCTGTAATGGATTTTACCCCCCAGAATTCCCCAGTCAGAATTCCAAAGGTGGAAAACACTGATCTGAGCCCTAGTCTTGGGCACACTACCTGTCTCTGATTTCAACATCCTTACATTATTCTATTCATATGCAGCAAAGAAACTATATACATGCAGAATCTTAGACTTATTCCATAATGTTTGGATGAATGAAATATAGGCCGCTTTAATGACCTTCCTACCATATTAATTTTATTCCTGATATACTTCTCTTTCAGTCTTGATGGTGAAATAGTTCATAGGAGCCACTTTTTTTGTGTGAGCACCATATGGCGCAGAGTATACCATAAATAAGTAACTGTGATAGCCTATTTGCCACTCTAACTTCAAGAAGCCTGACAAAAATAGCACTATTAGCTCTAATTTCTGAAAATAGTTAAAAACATATACACATAAACAGTACTGTACTGCAACTTTTTTTAAAAAAAGGGAATTAATAAATTTTCACAAATTATTGACCTCATTTTTACAGACTCAAATGTTTAAAAATTGCTAATTCAAAAATACACACACACATAGTATGAAAATGTAACAAATGCATATATTTTACCATGCAAATTGAAAAACAATTATTAACTACAGTTTTGTTTAGTTTTAATTGGTACGCTTAACTTTGTTTTTTTTCAATAAGGCAAGTCACAGATGATGACTTCTTCTGTGTAATAATAAAATATGCGAATCTAGGAATGCAAACATTTCTAGAATGCTTAATTCACTATGTCTTCATTCACTGAACATTCTTAAATACATTTATTTGGAAATAAACTTCACTCTTCCAAGTGCTTTAAAATAGATGAATAAACAGCATGAGCCTATGAACATTTATCTACTTAAAGTAAGCTCCAATTCGATACAATTTAATGCTAAATAAATGTGAAAAGGATTTTAGCTTTATAACCTTCATCTAATAATTATTTACTTAAAAGTGCATCTCACTGGGTTCAATTATTCTTTATTTATTTAACACATTTTTATATCCCCTCCTATGTTAAAAAAAAAAAAAAAGTCTCGCTGTCTTATGCCAGACAGATACACAAGGGACTGCAGTCACACAGTGCAACCAGATATATTTCTACTAAAAAGAAAAAAGAAATCATTGAATTCAATAGGGCTTCCTCTCTGGTAAGGAAGTATTAAAATGACTGATTGTAACCTTAAACAGGATTTGCTAGGGAATGAGTCCCATAAAATTTACTGCGCCTTAAACAAGAAAGTTTAAAATCACTTTGAACAGATTAGGGTCATACAGGTTCAAGGCCTTACCACACATTACAGACAATAAGATCTGTTTCGCTATATTAAGTTTATGATTCTTCTTAGCTATTATTGTGCAATCTTATCCATGTCCACCCAGAAATAACTCATTGAATTAAAGGAACTTCCCAGGAATGGAACAGGAGGTAGGAAATTACCTACCAAATTAAAATTTTCCCTAATTTTTCAAATTATATTAACTTGTCTGTACAGTATTTTATTCCTGAGTCTTTCCTGAATAAAATAATCAAAGGAACAGTGACAAATATTGTTCAGTGTCTGGCAATACTGAATATACATAAAACCAATGTCAAACTGTTTTAGAATATTTTTAGATGTTCTTCTCATTTACCTGGTGGGCAGTTGCAGTCCAAAGAAGCTTCTCTTACTGTCCTGATTTTTGCCATATGTTCATAGGTCTTCTGTAGGGAAGAAAAAAATGTCTGAAAAAACAGTCCTTTGCAGCAAAAGCTGAATGAGAGAACTAATGTCAAATCTGTTCTACGGTATTTATAAGAAGTAAATATACAATAAATTGATATTAGCCCATTTAACTTTCATGTTTTCCAGACTTTGTATGTTAATCAATTGATCACTTGTTCAATGTAGTCTTAACCACAGTTTAAATCAGAAGTGAATCAAGCATATATTTCCAGATGTTCTTACAGTCCCATTCTCTCATCTGTAATGATTGGCTGTCCTGGCAGAGGATATGATGAGCAATAGAATTTAATAACTTTTGGGGCGAAATCTATTGCTGCCCCTGATTTAAATATCACACATAAACTCAAGAAAATTAAGGTCTTGCATATGAAAACAATTGCTTATCTTCCCCCACAGTAACTATGCAGATACAGAGAATTTGGTTTGGGGCAGTATCTGAAAATGAAAGATGAAAGAGCAAGGAATATTTTGTACATGCAGGTCAACTGTTTCCACGTTACAGATATAGCTCCTGCCAGTTGAAATCTACTTGCTGTTAAGCAGTCTCCTTGGACTGGTCCTTAAACTTAAATATCTACTTTACAAACACATGTCTGTGTGGCACTCTTGTCAACCATAATGCTAGCCAAGTAACCATCATGTAGGAGATGAGCCTGAGGGAGGGACCAGCCTGGTCATCTACACATCATAAGAAAATGAAATGCAGTTGGAAGAGTATCATTCTATAACATGTAACACGGAGCCCCACTAATGTTGCCCCACTAATGTTGCCGCTGCCTCTTTTTTTTTCAAGCTATTCCTGGAATGCAACAAATGCCCCATATTGCCTCTAGTTCATAGCAATCCACTGAGCACTATAATAACCCTTGTTTTAAAGAATTTTGTTCAGGCAACTGATAGCTACCACTTGTTTATTTAGTTTATTCAACTGAGCGCAATTCCCATGACCAGACTACAGACAGCACACTTGTTTATTGATTCAGAGCCTTTTTTATTCTTCTAAATCTTTGTGGGGTGGGGGAGGTAGATGGTAATGATATCTTAAGCAAAAGTCCATATGAGCATAGGATATTCTGTGTTATAATTATATTCTATAAAAGAACAATGCTAACAGAGAGAAGACCTGTTTGACATTCCAAAAAGATTGAAGTGCATTCTAACTTACATTATCCTCAAATTAGTTAATATAGAAAAACAATGCAGGGTAGTGGTAGTGCTGAACTAGGACTTGGAAAACAAAGATTCCAACCCTCAGTTAGTCATGACATCAATGGGTCACATGGGGACAGCCATGGTTTTCTCACTTAATACTGTATGCCACAAAGGAAGATACTGGGGTATTATACATACTGTCTTTGTGCAGAAAAGGAGAGAAGTAAATGCAGCACATACTATTATCAAGTGAATAATTTAGATGGCCACCTGATCTTTTCAGTCAGACAATTCCTAACAAAAGCATTTTGCTCTTCTCCTTTCCTCTATCATATTCGCCCCCCCCCCCACCAAGATGCACATCATCTCTCTATCTTACACGTGGGTTGCCTTTGGTTAAGACCAAGGCAAAAGGGCAGGAGTTAACATCTGGAGTATGACCCTCCAGATGCTGCTGAGCTGCAGCTTCCATCATCCCTCACAACTAGCTAGGCTAGCTGGGACTGGGTGCATTAATGCTCATTGATGTTTGAAAGACTACACGTTGCCCATTATTTTCCTAGAGGGGACCCAGACAGCCAATCCATTTCACAAATGCACAGGTATCTCTGAGCTGACTGGTTGGCTAACAGCCTTTTCCTTGGGACGGCCAATCCCCTCCTCAATTTTCAAGGCGACCCCACCTGAGCCAGAAGTTGCTCCACTTTTTCCTGCATCAGGGAATTCAGCTGATCCAAAGAATAGCTGGGCAGCGACTGGTAGGAGCCAGCAAGAGCAGCAGCGCCCATGTCCCCTTGCGCTGTCTCAATGGCAAAGACCCTCGCCTGAAGGTCGTTGGTCTTCATCCCCAGATAGACGCAGGAAGCTATGGATCCCACAGAGAGAAGGAAGGCGGCCAGCAGCGAGTTGAAGGGCGGAGCAGACCTGAGGGGACAGAAGCCCTGTCCGCCAAAGCAGCCGGCTTCCCGGTTAGCGTCGGGGTTTCTTTTCCCCACCATGCTTGGCTGGAAGAGGCGGTACAGAAATCCTCCTCCTTTTCAGTGGACGGTCGCTAGATTCCCGCCACACAAAAAAAGAACAAGAACCCACAGGAAGGGGGCAAATATTCAAACGAGTCCCTCCAAAGCCGAGAAAAGGCACTTTCAGTGCGAAAAGGTGGCGAGCAGGACAGGCTTCCTGGATTTCCAAGGTGGCTCTCAAACTGCCATCCAAAGAGGCGCGCGAGGGCCCCCAAGAAGAGGGCAGCCTTCACCCTCCGCCAGCTGCTGCCTTTTATGGCATCTGCCGACGAGAGGCGCCGAGCAACCTTGTCAGGTGCCGCTTCCAGGCTCTTTCCCCGACGGCGCCGACGGACTTGTTGCTTCTCTCGCTCTCCTCCGGTTTCTTCGCGCCTTCTGCAGCCTGAAAAGCCTGCAAAGCCAGACAACTTCGGAGTTACTTCAGCATCAACCTCTCCCCTATCCCAGTACAGAGCGGGCGAGAACCGAAGCTTCCCCCTTGCTGGAGTCCCTTTGCAGCCCCCTGCCTGCGTAGGCGCCTCTAGTAGCGGCTGTCAGGAAAGCGGCGGCGGCGGCGGCGGCAGCGGCAGCAGCAGCAGCAGAAACGCCTCGGAGCCTCCCGCTTGTTTCTCAGGGCTGAGCGCAGCGCACGCCGCTTTCGAGCGCCTGCCAGAACCTCGGGAGTCTCATTAGCATAATTTATTCACCTAGACCGAGGGGCCGGCCCCCCGCGCGCCAGACCCGGGGAGGCTGGAGTTTAGGCTTTTAGCATAATCTATGCAAAGCTGCGGCCAGCAGTCTCCCCCTGCCCACCCACCCGCGCCCGTCTGCCGCTGCGCAGCGCTCCGCTCCTGCCTGGACTCCGCGGGATCGAGCCGCCTGTTACCACAAGAAAGAGGTGACTGCGGAGGGGGCGTGGTCAAGTCCAAGCCCTGCCAGGAGGAGAGTTGCTTTCCTAGGAAGAAAACAGGACGTCCTGGCGCAACGGGAGTTTAGTGACAAGGCGAGAGGCTTAATATTGCGGTCAGATTTATGACAGCGGAAAAACAGTTGTCCCACAGACCAACTCCTGGATCGCTTACCGTGGCTTTGTTCCACTGAGCTCAGCGGCTGTCTTTGCATATCACCTTAACCCATTAATAACTTCACCATGGTGATTCCTGTCATACAGCGTTTTGGAGTCCTGTGACACAGAGAACCATCAACTGGGGTATGGCACACAAGGCAGGCTAAGTTGCAGTTGAGTAGTTTGGCTCAGCAGAAGTCTGGATGATTGTAGGCAGGTATACTGGGTGATAATGACTGTCACTTGCCACCTGTTTCTCATCCCCTTGCCCTTCTTTGATGAAGGCTGGCATTTTCTTGGCAAAGAGAGGCCCCCAATTTCTCCTTGCATAAAGGATACCTGCAGGCTTAAAGAAAGCAGGGATTTATATCTAGAAGTAAGAGATAGACAGAATACAGACATAAATGAGATAGATAGATATGGATATGGATAGATATATAGGCAAGAGTATATGTGTATATGTGTGTATGTGTATGTGTGTACATGTATATGTATATGAATGAAGATGGTATTGGAACTATCTACTGTGGCTCAGTAGATGATCTATCCTCGAAGTGTATGTCCCTGCTACTTTCCTTAGACCTCTGGGCAGTTTTTGAAACCATCAACCAGGACACCTTCTGGACCATTTAGAAGAAGGGCTGGCCTTTGGGAACTCGCAATGGTTCCAGTAGGAATAGACCAGAAGACAGAACTAAAGGGCTATTGCTGCAACACCTATGCTGCTGATGTATAATGTGCCAGATATGTCTTGTCCCCTATGCTGTTTAGCATCTACATCAATATAAAAATCCACGTGATTTAGCTGTACTACTCCATGTCATTCCAAAGGAGGAATGCTGCCTTATCTTAATAATGGGCTGGATGAAGAAACTCAGACTGAAAGGAAATCCACACTACACACAGGAAAAAGGCGGACTCTGGAACTGAAGAAGTCTGTTCTGGCTGGGCTCATGCTCACAGTCTCCACAAAGCCTCCATTCATTCTTTGGGGGGGCTTCTCGGTGTTCAACTACTTGTTTACTGTAGGTCCTCCACTTAAAACCAGTCGCTAAGCGACCATTCAAAGTTAGGACGGCAACAGACACCCCTTGTGGTTACTTGATAAACTCTTAGCCATTTGGCAACTGGCTCACCTTTACAGCCATTTACAGCATCCCAAGGTCACATGACCCTGTTTTGCATTGTTTTTTTGGCCACTTTCTGGCTTTTTCTTCTAGTTTGCAGTAAGGAAAAAAATCCCATTTTTAGAAAATGGATTTACTTAATTAGCATGGTGTTTGTTTAATGACTGTCATGTTTGTTTAACGACCATGGCAAAAAAAGGCCAAAAATCGGGTCTATTCATGGGATATCTCAACTTACAAATGCAATGACTTACAGTATGACTGTAATTCTGGGCTCAGTTATGGTCCTGGGTAGAGGGCCACCTCTATGAAAGTACACATTACTCTTGAAAACAGTCCAGAAATTGCAATTGGTGCAAGATGTAGCTTTCAATGTCAGAATAAACACAACAGCAGGATATAAATTTAGATACGAAGTAAACATAGCTATCGTCTCCAAATGACCACTAGAATGCAGCAACGAGTTGTGTGTGTCTCTTTCCTGTGATCTAGAATAGATACCAGATATAATAGTCCTTGTTGGCTGAGGAGACGTGCCTACAACAGGGGGCTTCAAACTTGGCCCTTTTATGACTTGTGGACTTCAACTCCCAGAATTCCTCAGCCAGGAATGCTGGCTGAGGAATTGTGGGAGTTGAAGTCCACAAGTCATAAAAGGGCCAAGTTTGAAGAACCCTGACCTACAATAACACAGCTAATTCCAAAAAGATTACCCCCAAATTCCTAAGTGAGGTGGACCTCACTACTGGCTGCAAACTGAGCCAGTAATTCCATTGCAGTCACATGGTTGTAAAATGAAGCATCACATAACTGTGCTGATTTACAGCATCAGCTCTGTCTACAGTTGTGAAGTGAATATCCACGGGTCATTGAGGATGAACTCACATGGACTTGACTTCTGATTTCCTTCTGATTTTCCTTGTTGGAAGCTGGCTGTGAAGGTCACAAATGGACACTGCAACCATCATAAGTGCATGCCAGTTGTCAAGAACCCAAATTGTGATCATGTGACCACAGGGATGCTGCAATAGCTACAGGTTAGGCCAATCATAACTTCGCAGTTTGCCGTGCGAATGGTCAGTAAGTGAGAACCACACCTGTATTCCTTTCTCAAATACGACAGACAACTGAATATGAGTACTCAGTTTTCATCTTGTTGCTTTTCTAATTTTTCAGAGTACTTTCTATGGTTTTTGTGCCCTTAACCTTCTCTGTTTTGTCTTCATAATCCTTTGGAGGTTGGATTTAGACTGACAAAGTCTGAAGACAAAGGTCACATACATGAATATCACAGGGAGGGATCAAAAAGGTCAAGATACTGAATGGTCACAATTGTGTGATCAAAGCCGCACCCTTTTCTGCATTAATCACATGGCTATGACTGCCATCTTGACGACTGCCATCTTGACTTTTCTGACCCTGCTTCCTTGTGGGCAGCCCTGTTATGTGATCTTTCCCACAGAAAATGCCATTGCTGCAGCTTTTATCAGTCCTGATATGTAAGCCTAGCATTCTTCAGTTGAGACAACACCATTGGTAAACCCAGTGAGAGAATTGGGTTATGAAATATAACCTTACAAGGACAAGTTATAATCTTAAGGGCAAGTTATTTTTTAAATATGTTTAAAACAAAAAGGAGGGGGGGATGTAGAATTAATATGTTTTCTACTTTTCTTTTCACATCCCAACATGTCCAGTTTAAACCACTGCAGGCTGGCTTTGCCAAAACTGTCTGGGTACAAATTGGGAAAATAAACAAAAAAAATGTACCATTTCAGAAAGCCACACATCTTTTGGTTAACCAAAGCAGTGTTTTAAATTGCTGAAATGAAAGAAGAGCAGGAGTGTTTATATCAGCAATTATCCACTGAAACATTGCAGCAGCTGATCTGGATCCAAATTAGAATTCTTCCAGATATGGAACTATGGGGATGGCATGTGATTTATTTATTCATTAACAATAATCCCCAAAGGTAGCTTACTTCCCCACTCAATACTGCGTAGCATAGTCAGATGGCAGATGTGCTATTTTATCATATGTGTGTTTAGCAAAGTAAACTCTGCAAAATCAAGCAGATTTACCTGTTCATAGAGTTGATGTGATCATGTAATGCCTGGAAAAAATGTGGGATGCAAAGTAAGACTATTATAGCCAGCTACTATGAAATCAGTGTTAACCACAGCAAGAAAATGTTAAGTGTATTAAAATTAATAAATCATGTTTAGAGCACGATTATAGGTCTTATGGTTACTGATAGCTATCTCGTCCCACCTCACTTTTTACGTATACATGAAAAAGAAGCTAGTGTACTCCAGCATCATCCTTATTTTAAGGATGCCTTTGGGTCTCAAATAACCCTTATAAAGCAGATTAAAAAGTAGAAATGATAAGCAACAATATCCCAATGCTTTCTTTGCAAATTTGCCCACCAGCCCCAAAAGCATTGGGCAAAATAAATAGTAAGGAGGGATTGCAGAGAGCATTTGGGAGATGAGACTAGAGAGATATCATTCTGGAAAATCCACACTTTGTAAAAAGATATTTCTTCCCACCAGTCATTTTGTGCGCATATATATTCTCGACTGCAAGTTCATCATACTATGTAAGCTATAGCAATACCTATGAAGTATAGGAATACACAAGATACAGAGAACTGGGCAGAGAGCAAATATAGCAAGATATAGTAAGGGCTAAAATGGACATTTGCCAGTCCTATAACCAGGAGAGGACTCAGAGTATATTATATTTCGTAGACAATTGATGGAGATCAGATGTCATCTAAAAGAATGTTCAGGATCCATGTCCCACCACCACTGCAGCTTATGGAGCCCTCCAGAGGTTATATACATGCAATCTCCACTCCCGAATCCTGGAATGTGGGAATTCCTCTATGCATCATTATAAAGACATTTGGTGGTCACCACAGTTCAGCTATAATGACCCAGTATTTGGTAATATCTTTTGACACTGGGATTAAATATTGCATTTAACATTGCAATATCCATTTGTCTACCCTGGGCACATTGCAGCTATTCTTGTTGACAGCATCTGGTAAGCCAGCAACTAGATTTATTACAGCAAGACTATAAAGAGAAACAAAATATAACAGGTTAACATCATTTTGACAGGAAACGAGAGGATAAACACAAAAATAGATGTTTCTAACAGGCTTCTATTTGTAGCATGTTAATACCAATTTTCTTTATTTATAACAATTTTTTAAAAAAAAAGTCTGCAAGAACAATGTGGAAGTGCTTCTGTAGACAAATAAATTAACCTATAAGTTTAAAAATAACTCATCTTTACTTGGCTCCTGCTCCTACTTTTGGAGGGAAAAAAATGTTGAACAAAATTTATGTATGCCTTACACATTAAAAATATACCAAATCTTCTTTGAGTTGAGTTTGACTTTTAAACATCCAGTCTGAACATTTCCTGGTGAACTCTCATATAAGAACTAACTAGGTTTGGCACTAATTGTGTCTGGTAGAATTTGAATCAGGGATGAGCATCTGGTTTTTTTTTTCTTTGAAAGCTGATTTAATGACAATTTGTTAGAAGTCAGAGTCATATTTTTGTGGGATGGATGGCCATATAAATATGATGCATAAACAAACAAACAAACAAATATACTCTAATTTATATGGTAAATTGGACCATAGGAAGTGGGGGAAACCACAAAGACCACAATGGAAGAAGCTATCCATTGCGTCTAATTTTGACACTGACTTTATTCAGCTCCAGGCAGCAAAGCAGGAAAGGGACAAACTGTTCTTGATGATGATGATGTGCCACAAGACATTGTTGACTCTTAGATTTTCTCCATGATGATTTATCCCTTGCATGATCTTTCAGCAATTCCAACAGTGCACTCGTGTCTACTATAATTGAATCTACCAACTTTCTGCTTCTCTTTTTCTCTTTCCAGCCACCTTTCCCAGAATTACAGCTTCTCTAGAGAGTTTAGTCTACACATAATGTATCCAAATCATAATTTGAGCCTGGTCCTTTATGCCTCAAGTGAAAACTTGATAGGTTTGCTCAATAATCCATTCTTTGTTTTCTTGGCAGTCCAGGGTGTTCTCAGGGCTCTTGTCCAATACCAAATTTTAAAAGCATCAGTTCTCTTCCTGTGTTGCTTCTTCAAAGTCCAACTTTGACTTCTATAGACTGTCACAGAGAATACATGGCTTGGATCAAAGTCTTAATTGATTGTTT